AAGAATGACTGTTTGTTCGATACGCCAGAATCCATATGCCAGAACCCTTTCCGGATAGACTTTCACCCCTTGCAACCTCGGGTAGTGCTCACGTTGAATATAGTCTTATTTATAGATCTTTTGGATCTACATATATGCGTATCCCTCCGTTTGGAGCGGTTAGTGTTATAGCAGAGCTCACCCAGGTTGTTGGTGTTGTTACAGGCGCCAACGACTTGTTTTGCGAATATGTACGTACAGGAATTATTGTAAAATGCCTTCTTTGATCATCACCTCTTGGTCTGTAGTTTCCCAAACTCGTACACAGTAGCATCCCCCGTCTGTGGCTTGTGGATGGCGTTATTGCCGGTGCATTTAATGATATTAGTGATATCCCATAGACGCCTTTTGTCCAAGAATTGGGCGAATGTCCTTGTTGTCAACCAGTTTGCACACTTGGCTTGTCCGATTACCGTTAATAAGATTGTTACTTGGATTTTTTTGGAAAAAAGAATTTCTGAATCTTCGTACTTAATTGGCCATTTTACTGTATTGTTGACACTACATGCTATCACGGTTCTATCATAATCAATTTAATTCTTATTAAGAGGCAATTTTTTTCAATGTCATGTATTTGCAATGAAAAGTGTTCAAAACCTAAAATATTTTTGGCGTTCCTTTCAAAATTACTTTCTTTTAGCTTTATTCTCTAGTTTATACAGTTAGCAACCTTTTTAAATGCATCTGCCGGCTGAGAAACATAAAATAATAGTAAAAAATTGTCAATTAAAATATAATTATCAATGATGCTTTAAAATTGACGCCATGTTTACAGCCATATAAGCCAAACTTACTGAACTTCAGACATCATTTTCTCTTTGGCGTACCATCTAAAATCTTTTCATTTTAGTATTATTTTTCAGATAAAGCACTAAACATACTTTTTAAGTTTGTTTGCCCATTGAGAAACGTATTGAAAAATAAAAATTTTGAATTTAGTCATAACCTCAAGTGGTATATTATACGCATTAGTTTTGAGCGCGTGTTGCGTAACATACAAAAAAATCTCCTCTTAATAATGTATGGACTGGCATGATATGTTAAATATGTAGTGAGTGCCACAAAATATACTGTGAAGGGGGAATTTTTTTGGACACCCTGTGTGTACAGTATACAGTACAGTACATATATTTATGGTTGGCAAATTTTGTCACATTGCACAAAGTTAAGTAAAAGTTAAAGAAGCAGTTACTTGAGTTTCATTCTCAAACCCAACTGGTGATCATATTACATATATCTGGCAGGCAGGCAGGCAAGGCAGGCAGGCAGGCAGGCAGGCACTATCCTAAGGTCAGGTATCAAGCTATTGCAGGGGAACACTTTAATGTGCAGAACTTTCATTTTAATATCCTTTGCTGAAATATCTAAGACATACTGTAAACATTACCAACTTTTACAGATATGTGTTGCACAGAACTAGATAAAATTACATTTTATCTCAGTTCAGTTACATTTAATTATTTTAGAAATGTTATGCAAAATCATTCTAAATGAAGCTGTGTGTTTCATGTGGAATGGAGACATTATGAACAACTTACCTGAAGCCTAGGGTTGGTAATATGGTTATCTTTCAATGAGAGAAACATCTAAAATGTAAATATTTAACATAGGAAACAAATACTGTAAATAGAGCGGAGCTGTGATATATACTAGTATACAGTAATGTGTCGTTATGCAAATATGATGTGTTATTCCCCAATTATAACTAAAATTTGCAGCCTTTTTCTCAAGATAATGTCGTGGATATCAACTTATTGACAGTCAATAAGTTGAAATCCACCCACACATAACATTGATTAAAATTTATGAATGCTTGCTTTATTGCATATAGCAATGTGATACAGTATTAACAGAACATGGATATTACTCAGCAGGCTGAACATCATACCATGGAATTAACAAGTACTGAATACTTACAGCAGTGAGTTCACCTTCTCTAAAACCAACTGCTTGAGAAACCTAATTAAGTGAAACATATACTATAGTTTGCATATTCATCCAACACAGAAAGTGAAACCCAATGTGTACTGTAAATGCCATTTCTCTGCAGGATATTATGAACGTGCACACTGTACTACAGGGATGCCGGAATGATAAAAAGGCAAGGGGGGCAAACACACACCAAAGGGCACCTCTATAGATCCCGGTGAAGATATAAACCTACAATAATGTGTTGACTTGCCAATGAAAGCAAACACACTTAATCAGGTCACATTCAAGATCACACCTCATGATTTTGCCCAAAAAGCATCACTGGAAATGTGATTTATCAGGTAGTATTTTACAACTCAAAGGGCACTTCTGCCCCCCTTGCCCCTCCTAGCAAAAGGCAAGAGGGGCAGCTGCCCCACCTGCCCCCCCCCCAGTTCCGGTGTCCCTGCTGTACTACAGACAACATTCACCTTATTTTAGACAGTGATGGATTTATAGGGGGTGTGCACCCCTGTTGGTCTTGGTCAACAGGGGTGCAAGGGGAGTGTAAAAAAATTAAATTTATCTTACTTTTAAATTAATTTAGACTAACTTAAGTTTTGGAATTCAAGGCAGCACCCTGTACAGCACTAGGCAGCACCACAGCAGCCAGGTAGCATCACAGCAAAGTCCAAATTAATAATTTAGTTTGATTGAATAAATCAATTATCGTTAATTTTGCTGCAAATGTTTAACATGATAAGTATTGGATAATGAAAATAAAAATTACAGAAGCAATCAAATATTCATATATGAAAAAATTCCATTTTCTCTTTCACACAATCACAGTATCAAGAGAATCAGGAATTTATATTTTGGACAATTGTTAAATTATATTTCAACATATCTGTAAATTGTAACCAAGGAACTACTAGGTGCACTTTCATGACAGTATGCTGGGTAGTGCTGGGTAGCCTGGGTTCGAATTCGGTGTGCTTGACACCACCACTGATTTCAGACACATACTGTATGGCATTGTGGGCTCAATAAAAAATTTTGCATGCTTTTCGTTTTTCTTAATTTAAAGGACAATGGCAACGAAAATTTTTATTTGCTATTTCAATCCTACTCAGGGATGCCGGAACTGGGGGGGGGGGGCAGGAGGGGCAGCTTGCCTTTTGTTAGGGGGCCAAGGGGGGCAGAAGTGCCCTTTTAGTTTTAGTTGTAAAATACTACCTGATAAATCACATTTCCAGTGATGCTTTTTGACATTTCCAGTGATGCTTTTACAAAAATTTTAGAAAATTTTTGGATTTTAGAAAAAATTTTTGGATAAATTGAGAAAAATGTTTTTTACGTCACGAAACAATGTTGTATGTCAGGAAAAAATATTTGACCCCTAAAATGGTACAATGACTGAAACTTTTTTGGCGACGGGGGAGAGAAGGGGGGGGGCGCGGATGGGGGGGGTCGCCCAAAAAAATTTCATGTACTGTAAAAAAAAATTTTCAGGTAAATTTCCAACTTTTGATCTATAGAGGTGCCCTTTGGTGTGCGTCTGCCCCCTTTTGCCTTTTTATTGTTCCGGCGTCCCTGATCCTACTTGACAAACTAACTATGAAAATATGATCATTTCCTTCTCGAACATTTTAGTCTACGAGTAAAATGCATGCAAACTTTGTGTTTCGGCCAGTTTCGCCGCCATCTTGGAAATGTTATGTTACTGTAGCTAAAAATATGTTGTTTTGAGCGTTATGCTGGCCAACACTTTTCATAATCAAACAAGAGAAGTCTACACTATCAGATAAAAACATATCGAGCGACTGGGAAAGCAAGGAATGGCACAATTTACTGATTCACAATACAGGTAATTGATCATAAAATATTGCATTAGTATTTGCCTTGGTACACTTGAATTTTTGTGTTTATTTGACACAGAGTAGGATATATACTATTATACCATGAGAAATAGTGTTACAAACTAGTCACATACTTGGTAAAACTTTTCTGTCTTTTGTTTTGGCTCAAAGTGCACTACGCTTGGTAATACTCGGTATTGTTTAAAGTCATGAAAATGTGTTTACCCAGCCAATGACGTCAGATAATGTATTTTGTGGTATAAGTTAGCATATGCGCTTATTTTCAAAATGTAGGACAACTGTTGAACTTCTTATTAAATTTTCTCAACAACTAAATGCAACAAACTGGAAAAATATGAAATTGAATATTCCGTGAGTTAGGAATGTGTTCAGTATAAGAAATTTCCGGTATCGGTATACCGAAAAAATTACACCGGTATTATCGGTATACCGGTTTTCCTTTGATAATTATAAAGGAAATTCTTTAATGGGAATTTGAAGGAAATTTTGAGTAATTCTAAAAGGGAAAACGATAATTTTGAAGCTGTTTCGAACATGTTTCGAACGACACGTACTCAGTGTAAAATCTCACCGAAGTGGAAATTCTAAATCATTGCAGTAGAAAGTTCTTTCGCCTTATAGTTGGTAAATTTAACACGATATAATACCGATATTTTCGGTATATCGGTATACTGAACAGTCCTACCGTGAGTATACCTAATAGATATGAGTAATAAAAATTTTGGTTGCCAATGTCCTTTAAAAATTAAAATTGCCTTGACTATTTTCAACAAAATAAAGTTCAAGTAGTCAAATTGTAAGTTTAAAATGTTCTTAATTATTACGTTATTCTTGAGTCATATAACATTGTTTTTGGGTTTTTAACCTTTCCTTAACTTCATAATTCAACTTAATAACAAGTGTATATCATTCTTATAATCTTATTACTTTACTTTTAATTATTTATATTAAATTTTCAATATACGTTTTGTACATTTTTTAGATAAATTCATACGAATATTAAATCTTTGTTTCATGGGCCAATTTACAGTAGCCTGCAATAAAATCAACAATAAATGACGATAATATTCTTACCTCTTCAAGATACTCTTTTACTGATAAATCCGCCATATTGTTTTATGGTGAAATACTTGGTGTAATATGTATTATAGAGTTCATAAGCCCCAGACTTCCATCTATGACATTTGTAACAAATTATTATATAATTTTCAAACATCAAAATATGTTCAAATGTCTTCGAGGTTTTACTCGTTTTAGACCAACAAAATACTGAGAAAAATATCGCAGAAAAACGGAGCAGGATTTGCAAGGCAAACAAGGATTGTTGTAATATTTTACAGTTGAATTAATGGATTAATTGGCAAGCAAAAGATTGAAGATAAGCCTTTTAATATAAATAAAACTTTGTGATCGCAGCTGCATAATATTTGAATATTGAAGTCTTACATTTGTTTTTAATTACGAAGAATTTGGGATATTCTACATCTCGTTGCTGGATAAAACGTGAAGATATACATTAAATAGATGTTTTGCTGTTGCGAAGAATATTTGCAATATAAAACAACAATTTGAAAAAAAATTTTGATGTGAAATGAGATGGCATTGTTTTCAATATTGTCGAAGCTTGGGCTAAGTAAATTATGGTTGAATTCAAGTCCAGCAGTTTACGTACTATATTTTTTCATATATATTCTAAATACAAAAGACACTGTGCTGTCATCAACTTCACCAAGTGTATGTGAAATGGATCAAAGTAGAACATGTCACTGTATTAATAACAATACTAAAGCAGTGCATTGCTTGCTGGGTAATTTAAAAAATTCTGCCTGTGAACGGAATGCAACAAAAAGTTACAAGTTATTTTGTGAGGTGATGTCACAATTTGATTGTCGGACTAAATATTCTGTTAAGTGGAATTGTACAGATTGTTTGGTAAGTTGTGTTAGCATCATGCACTTCTTGTTCATGAGATTGACTCTGACCATGGGGGCATCCATTTAGTATGTGCACAAACAAATTTGAAAATTGAACACACCCCCCCTGTATACAAAGAACAATAGAAGTGATGTTATTTGACCAATATAGGCATATGCAAAAACTACTAAATGTTTGGAGCCCCATAGTTGCATACATACTAAATGGTCACCCCCATTTGCCCTACCTCATTTTTTAACTGCATGCATATGCAGCAACCCCTCACCCTTTCTTAACAGAACAGCCATGATTAAAAAATATTGTTTAAATCATTTTTTTCGGACAAAATGGGAATTACAATCACTACAGAAATTTGCTTAAATAAATTCATATATGCATAAATTCACTGCAGAAATTTTTTCCTGCAGGATGCTTATACCAAGTGGCTATTGGCAGTCTTTAATCCAGAAAATGATGCGTGGTTGTTAAATTGCGCTGAGATAGATACAAATTCAACAAACATTGATAAAATGTCATTGTGTAGAGATGTTCTGGCAAAATGTCCATATTTTGCTCCTCAGAACAGTTATGGAGATGCTCCTGCTTTTGATTGCCCACTTAAACGTAAATTTAAATGTAAGTCACTATGATGCCAAATTAGTAGTCATTATGAATGCATTTATTTCCAGCCCCATTTGTGCAAAACAGCCTAACAAGAAATATACTGTTGTCTGGTTTACTAACTGAACCTTCTGTAGCCTGCCATCCCTAGTAATTTGTTTTGTGTCAGAGGTTTTGTGTGGATGGAGCATAAACAACATATGAACACAGAATAAATGCTTACAGAAGTCCAACTTGTTGGCGCCAATGATTTTGACGTAACTGTTGCAATGCATTGCCATGTTCCCAGCCAGTGCACTTATGAAAGGCATTCACTCTCCAGAAAATATTCAAAATGGCAGACAGACAAATCGAGGCTAAATTCATGATTTCTTGACAAAATTTAGCACTCTTAATTCTAGACACAAGTTTAGAAGTTTGATTGATAGAAACAAAAATATTATGTTGTCAATGTAGACTGCCTAAAGATCTTAACATCGGTTTAACAAAAGTGTACGAATTTGTAGTTATTCTGCGACCTTATTAAAGCAACAATGTTTTAGAAAGGAACTGATTTCTATTTTCACCTTGTGCTGACAGTTGTGTGTAAACTTGGGGACATTCTACTGGATTGGCTGCCCCAAAAACATTTTTTCACTGGCCACTGTCCTTGTCAAGTAAAGCGATTTTCAATGGCTGGCAGACTAAATACAATCAGTTGTAATTTTATGTTTTCGGCAATAGTTACAGAAAGTTAAAGAAAGAGTCTCAGAGTAATGCTTTGCACGCTTGGTCACAGCTTGTTCAGATATTTTAGGGTGCCTCGTATATTAGGAGTTGTCAGTTGTGTGACTAAATCTGCGAATATCCGAATAATCGTCATCATAAATTACTCATTATTCCTGTGAATATATAGCTAGACCTGCTGTTAAGCATTTCATAATATTTATTTGTAATAAACGACAAATTGAAGTCTATAAATTGAAACGCATTGCCGCCAAAGCGTGGAAGGCCTAGAGATGAGATGCAACACATTCAAATCTTGATCAGACTCTGATTCAGACATTTTATCAGAAAATACTAAAATGTTCTTTGAAAGAACCAAAATTTGTGAAATATTAACGCAAAATGTAAACATAAACAAAAAGCACGCAAAGCATTAAGGCGGTTTTCCAGTCCTCGCACGAAGCTCCTCGCAGCTCGCTGCGAGTGCTTGCATCTAATTAAAATTAACTGTTTAGCATTGTGATTGGATGAAAGTGCTCATGCATGCACTCGCAGTGAGCTGCGAGGAGCTTCGTGCGAGGACTGGAAATCCGCCTTTACCCTGAGACTCATTCTTTAAATCATTTTTCAGTATAGTTTCGGCAACGATTGTTACAATTAATTGTGTCGCCGCGCAGAACATGATACACGTGTGATTTCCTTTGCCCATTGGCATTGCGTTGCTGGCGCGAGAAAAAAATCGCACGTGATCTACTAGGCGAATTTCTTCGCGCAAAGCGAGCGAAAAACAAGTCTTGGCAATGTGGTCGATCGGCGAAAAACATTCGCCGCGAAAATGTTTGATCAGTTCCTACTTTTTTATAGTTCGCGCGAACCAATAATGCACACTCAAACAGTAATTTTACACTATATTCAGCCTCACGCAAGGGGCAAAATCCATTACAAAAGGTGGGGCCTGGTGGGATGAAGCCAACCAACAAGCACAATTTATACTAGATAATACTACAGTATGACTGTCTAAAAAGTGGAGACACCCCATTCCCCCAGGATTTACACCCTTGAAATGCACGAGGATTTATTCCGCCAAAGTTTAACGAAGAAGTTTGCCCAATAATGGTTCTCTATGCTCCAAATCACGTTGTTACAGTACAGTATTAACATGATTTAATGGTTAACCCACTAAATATAATAAAAGCATGTGAAATAAAATACTAAATTATCTTTTCTGTTCAAATATATAGATGACGATAAATGGAATTGTAGAAGAAACAACAGCGACAGCTCTAACAATTGAAACTAAACAAAACTTAACACTAAAACCTAAAAATAAATAGCAACTGCACTGAAGTGTACTGCATATTTAATAGTTAAGAATCCTGAATATTTACCCGTCCAACAGCGTCTTCAAATCCCAAATCCTGCTAATCTTTTTTTTTTATTTCGTTACCAAAATGAGCGTTATCCCGGCCTTACCCCACAAGAAACTATTGTGATTTGTGAACTTAATCTAATAGACAGTAAGTAGTTTAATACAGTATATAATGGGTTGCAATTATATGTGAGGATTTTTAATTAATGAGGTATATCACAGTCATAATGTCACTTTGTTTGAGGCACCATTTTACCAAATGGAATCATTGCGTACGTACCAGAGACTATCCCTTTTTTATTTTTTGTTTCCCGTCAGGGAAGAAACCCGAATATAATAAAATTATAGAGAAAATAGGAAAAAATCGAAGACTCTCATAAGGGACTGGTCATAAAGTAACTGCTAGGGTGGGCTGGAGGTAAATCACAAATTTTGCCAATAAGTTTGGTGACCCATCTTAGGATGTAGATAAAAATTTCAAAGCCCATCTAATCTTGCCAAATTTATTTCATGACCCACCCACCCAATCTAAATTGGGAAAATACAATTTTATAACAAAAAAAAACTTGCAAGTATGAACATTGTAAATATACACCGGCACTGTATTGACATACATAATTCCACCAAGCTTGACCAACACATTCATCACCAATTACGATACTGAGCTGCTCTCCAGTTGGTTGTATTTGCTGTGATTCGACCACTTCTTGTTGTTGTATAAAACAAAGTACTGGCTTCAATAGCATCATTTGCATTTGATAATTTGGATAGTTTTGTTTACTTTTATTATTAATATCTTTATATAATATATAATTAACATGGGTTTTTGTTTGGTGGCCCAACCGTGGACATACCAAAAAATTGGCGGCCCATCAAAACTGCCCAAAAGATTTTCCATGGCCCATCCCAAATCACTCCAGCCCACCCTACTTAGTTCACTACCAATGCGGATCCCTAAATAGAAACAGAGATTTGATATTAATTATATTAAATATCAGACTTTTTAAGGTATATAAACAAGTGGCTTTCATGATCAGGCTACAGTTCAGTTCATGCGGAGGGCATTTAAAAAATGATCTCTTTAGAAACGTCTTTAATTGGAACGGCTAAACGGAGAGTTATAAAAGGGAGAGTTATAAAAGGGAGAGTTGTGGTCGTTGGAAAAAGTGGGGGTGGCTGGAACTCAACTCTCCGAAAGTCGAATGATTTCGGAGAGTTGAGTTCCAGCCACCCCCACTTTTTCCAACGACCACACCCAATTTCTTAACTCTCATTTGCCGTAACTCTCTTACAGCAAAACGTAAAAAATTACGAGAGTTAACGTTTTCGTAGCTTTCATGTATTGCAGTGAAAATGCATTCTAGACATTTCACTGTTAGGCCTTCTGGTTTTGTTGCTTGTACCCAGTACTTGCTTGTTTCGAGTCTTGCAAGTCTCTTTGATTACACCGTATTAATTGGAAATAGTCAAAATATTTGTGTTTTAAATACTTGTCTTAGTCTTGCTATAGGTGGGAAGGGATACAACAAGCTGCTTTCTTACTCTAGTAATCCACAGCAGAAATTAAAAAAACTCCTTTAACGATCGCTATGTTTTTCAAAATATGATCGGTGTTAACTTTAAAATAATAATTCGACTTACTATCTCCTCGCTTACCAATCATAACAACAGAAAGTTTAGAAAATATTAAATGTTAACCCTCTCGTAATTTTTTAAGTTTTTGATGCAAGAGTGTTACGGCGAATCAGCCTTTCTCACGAACGTCTAAATCCGCCATTTTTGGGTACTATTTTATAAACAACGATAAAAATCTAAGTGATGTGAAAATAGTTTTTCCAAATGTTTAACTGTAAATCGATTTATATGGAAATTGGGTGTGGTCGTTGGAAAAGTGGGCGTGGCTCGAACTTAACTCTCCGAAATGATAACTCTCCGACTTAATGCATGGATCAATTCTTCCTGTTACCATCCAACTCCCGGGGATTTGTGCGCCGAAAATTCCCGGGGGTGGGGAATTTCATTGATCGTTTGGTCCCGGGGGTAGGGGTGAGGAATATTTATAATTATGGCATATATTATATTATGCCCGAATGCGATGGATTGGAAGTGAAGCTGTTTCCCGCGAGATCTATCAAAGATGATATTTTCGTTTGATATAAATATCGTTTGATATAATATACAAAGATACTGTAATTATAAAACCGCCAGTTGCGATCTCTGCCGTTTATACTGTTATTTTTGATAATAGTGTGCCTAGGAAAGCAACGTTTTTGACAACACAAACATTAATACGCGAAAGTTAGCATACCCCATTAATTTTCCCAGTGTGACGAAGAAACCGGAGGTTTTTTAATTATATTACTTTCCTATACAAAAGTTATAACGAAAAGCACCGCCAAAGTTTGGTATCAGCTAACGTTTGAGCAATGTCCTGTTGTCAAAAACGTCACTTTCCTATAAGCTCACTATTTAATATACTGATCATGAAAATAAACCGAATGTAATAGCCAATATTGTCCCTGGGGTGGGAAATTGTCTTTTTTTATTTGCCTGGGGGTGGGGAATTTGGCAAATTCCCGGTGGTTGCCCGGGGGGGGGGGATGGTAACAGGAAGAATTGAACCATGCATAACTCTCCCTTTTATAAACCTCCATTTAGTCACATCTCATTAAATTAACGAACATTATATATAGTTATGTTTAACCCGTTACTTGCATTGTCAAAAAAATTGTGGATATTAATTTTTTCAATATTGTTAAATTAGGGTTGGTCGGGCCACGGGAAACAAAAACAAACATTTGGATGACCGTACTATACTGTATATACTAAAAATTAATGCTATTAAGGATATGGCAATCAAAATTAACTTCGTCTTATTTGAAAGAACTTTTAAAGTTATATATGAAGACCCTTCACAACTTTTTCGTACCTTTCTTTGTTTTCGAAATATTTTGACTAAAAACAGTGTGCAGTCCGCTATCTTGGTGTTATAATTGACCTAATTTCTGAGTTTTTGATGACGTCACAAGCAGGGTAAACTTGTTAAAACTTCTTCATGTGGGACTAAATTTCTTCGAAAGGTTTCTTAAAATGTTGTGAGTTAATTAAGTACTAAAAATACATCGGAAAATCGAGTTTCATATTGATAATGACATGTGGCTTGCAAGATAAAAATTTCGCTTTTTACCCTACTTGTGACGTATGCATATCGATTGCATATCCAAGATGGCGGAATGCACGCTGCTTTTGATCAAAATAAGTCGATTTATTTCGAAAACCAAGCAAGACACGGAATAATTGTAAAGGAAGTTTATATATCATTTTAAATGTTCTTTCAAATAAAGCCCTGGGCAAACTAGGAAACATTGTTGCGGAAACATTTGTGATTCTCGATGTTTCCTCAAATGTTTCCATGTTTGCCCACCCGTGGAAACGTTGCGGAAACAAAATTTGCTTCCCGGGAAGAAAAAATGTTTCCTACCAAATTCAGAAACATTTGATGTTTCCCTATGTTTCTCACTAATGTTTCCTAGTGTTTGCCCACTCTGGGAAACATGGCGAAACATTGCCATTGGTAGGAAACAATGTTTCCGCAACAATGTTTTATATTGCCATATCCCTTTAAATTACTACTAGTTACGTGCTGTAATAGAGGTTCAGATTTTACTTCCACTTCCGCTTTCATTAACCAGTCAGATGCGTTGAATGTACCCGATTAACCAATGAGACTCGGTGAGAGGTAGACGATAGTGAAATGGCGTGACAATATTGCTTGCTTGTAGTAAATACAGCAATTCCATGGCGACTCCATTTTGTTTTCTCCACAGCTGGCAAAGGTCACAGTGCCCGAGCAACTAGTATAGGGCAGTTGTGGAATTCAAAAGATGTTATGTCCGACCGATTCTGGCTCAGGGATCCTCAAGCTATTGTGATATTATACTTCCCTAACTATGTTTATTCTAACCAAAAACCAACCATGTCAACTTTCCCTGTGGGAGGAAACCGGAGCACCCGAAGAAACCCACGACTTTCGGCAGAGCGTTGACTGACTCTTCGCATGGGTCCGTAGCGAGAATCGAAGCCACGTTCTCAGAGGTGAAAGGCGCTTGCTCTGTCGACTGCGCCACCGAAGCCTACACTAAGATTAAACAATATAATACAAGGTTTAAAGTTATGAAGTTAAAAAAGTTGAAAAGAACAATGTAGCCTTCATGCAAAATGCACATGGATGTGGTTCAGGTACAGTATATTGTCCGTACTCTATAGAGTATAGACTCCCAACGTCCGCGCGGCGTGTCTATTCCCGTGAACGAGACTGACCCGCATCAATTACAATGCCATAAGTTACATTCTATAACTTATTGAACCACTTTCATTTATCAGACCAACTGAGATATAATCAAATTAATATTCTTTGTATAAGGCTATATACTACACCTTTTGGCTTTCAAATTAAACAATTTCAATCAGTGATTCAGTGCCATATTATTAATATATATGAGCTAATTTATGCCCGACAATCGACATTTTGTCCTTTGACAACGTACGAGATAAATTTGAAGTCTTTCACCCTTTCATGATTTTCTGAATTTCTTTCAAAGTTTCTTTGCTTGTCTTAGTTTAGTCTTTTAACAAAAACAGGCTTTTTCCCTGGAAGAAGAACGTCTTTGACTTTGTTTTGGTCTTTGATGAAATTCAGCCATATTGCTATGAGGATGTAGCAAGCATGTTTGTTCTGAATACCATTCAAATTCATCGTCCGATTGGTCTGAATCTGAAATATCTGAAGTTTCACAACATAACCCATAATTCCCATAGTTTGTTTTATCTCTGTACTTCGTATTATACATATCTAATTGACGTGTTCTTGAAATAGAGTCAGTGCTGTCCGAATTCGAATATTGAGAAGTGGAACCTGCCTTCTTCAATGCATGAAACCCAAGCTGAAACGCTCTCCTAGTGATATTATAAAAACACGCAGGTGTTTTCTTGTTGTAGAAAATATAGGCTTTAAAAGACGTATCATCATATTCTTTCGCAACGAGAACTGAGAATTTAGAATAACGATCTTGACCTTTGGTTACATCCTTTATATCAATTAAACGAAATGTGAGTAATGTCTCATTGCTGACGTGATCATACACATCAATAAATCTATCATTGATAAACACCAAAACATTACAAGCTTCTCTTATGTTACCCTTCTTATAACTCACGTAGGCATCATGTAAAAGTTGAGCAATTTCCTTATCAGAACCTCCACACTTTAGTTCCTCTCCAGCATTTAGAGATGTCATCCACAACTTCACACCTGCTACAATTTGTTCATCCTTAGTGCGACATTCAGCTTGAAAATTCTGATATTTTCGTGACATATCACGCTAGTAGCTACAGTTTCGGTTGTGGCCAAATTTAAGGCAATTTAATAAGTCTTTACGATCATAAAACTGTGGTGCGGTACCCTTGGCAAGATAGCCTTGCTTTATCAACAAATCGTCTGTATCCAATATACCTTGCTTAGCTCTCTCTGCTTAGCTCTACAACATCAACAAGTGCAAGTACCTGTTTAGTGCTCTGATGGGGATCTATTTAAAGCAGTTGGAATGTTAATTTGTTGACAATTTATTCAGACAACGCCGTTCGTGACATTAGGGACCTTAAGCAAACAGGACGGGAACGCGACGACGACGGCTATTCACACAATGGTATTCCTGATCTCGTACAAAAGAAATGAATAATTAAAAGCCCCACGGGAGTTAGAGACGTTGTGTTAGGGCTTTTTACAACGGCAAACCACAGATTTTCACGTCTTGTGTACAACGCAAACATGTCAAGACGCGACAAGTGAAACTACAAATTTGCTCAGCAGACGCGTTTTTAACCATAAAGCCTTTGTTATAATCTCTTCAAACTGAACTCAATTCATATATACATGCCGTGGATAATACACAACAACTCTTCTTCGCAATAATTTATTTGTTTTGGTTGTCGTCGTCGCGTTGCCGTCGTACATGCTTAAGGTCCCTAATTGGCTACATTAGTGTACGTCACATTAAGGGAAAACAATGTTATCGATACAAAAGACTGCAAAAGGCCAACAAAGATACCATGCGATTTATATATACAGTAGTTAAAAGGACAAAACACACAGTTATGTCAGTCACGCCATGGCTATAATGGCGTGACTGACATAAGCCTAATTACATAACTCATAAGCATAATATTTGCTTTTAAAAATTTGCATTTGAGATTCCTTGTCCACAAGCGCTTTATCTCGGCGAAACGCAAAACAATTTTGGAAGTAAAGTCTATGGATAAATTTTGCTTCGCGAGTGAGTGTGCACTACGCCACTACGGGCAGAAAGCTCTGCTCGCAGTAGAAATGAGTCAGTTCGTAAACGAAAAAAGTAGGAAAATTCTGTAGAATCACTCATGTGCAACCATCCACATTTCGCAGACACTATTCTCGCGATGAATCTCGCCGTCCTTTATAATAATTTGCATACAACTAATTCAATCAAGGTTGTCCTTCAAAACCTTAACCTTAGCGCGCAAGGGATGATGGGGTTTCCCCTATAAGACCCTTGAACTTTTGAAAAAATTTGCCTTTGCAGCAAGTATGTTTCCTGTCGTAAATCTTCTACATGTCTTAGGTATTCTTGCAAGCCAAATTTCAAAGTTTTTGAACTAGTTTAACCCATCATCATTAGTTGTATACACCTATATGATGTCATGTCAAGTCAGGTAATTTTTACGAAACAGCAATTTATATCGGCCGGCCGGTTTACAAAAGAAGATAAATGTACTGTAAGTTAACGCGGAAACATGCAGATCACATCTGAGGCAACACATCAAGCCAAGTCCCCGACCAATTTTCCCTTCAAAATTCAAATACCAACTTAGTTCCAGGCTCTCTCTCCCTCTCCGCTGTTGCATGTCTTGGGGGCACCGTAACGTTGACGGGCGGACATTACACCTGCTGCATGGTTCAAATCTCATCCTATTATGTGAGTTGTAGCCGACAGGGACTAGGCTGGGGGTTTTCAGGCTGACAAACTGCCATGTTTTCTGGGACCAATTGTTCGAAAACTTTACGGCACACTTTCTGACTTTTTTTTGTAACTTGGAAATACTATAGTTTTCCAGACGTCTTGTTTGGAGTAGCGTGAGAAAATCAGACGTCATTTCACTTGCTGCAGCGAAAATTTTTCTAATCTTTCATATATCTGCAGGATGGTTCTGAAACATTGAAATGAATATAACTATAACTGTCTATCTTTTTCTTGAAGCCAAAATCTGACCCACAGACACGCGTGTTTATATCATGATTGACTGAATGAGCGGTCTTCGTATGCGTGAAAAGACTGGGACTGGCCTTCAATTTGCTTCAAGCAGTGAACTGGCTTCAAGTAAGGCAGCCGAGAAACCCTGGTAACGAGGATGGGTTGGAGGTAGCGTTCCAGTTATATTCATTTCACTGTTCTGAAAAGACTAGATCAGCTCCTCCCTCCAGATCGACTTTTCTCGATTGTGCAAGTAAAACTGGAACGTTATGCAACCTCAGGCTCTTCGCCCGAGCGAAGGTTTACAAAAAGTATGCTCACAAGAAAGTCAACACTTTCAACGTTTATGAATGTTCACTTCCTTGTCCTGAACAACAACATGAAGCTGGTGTACTTATGAGTCAATCATTGTCCTCAAAATTCTCAATGCTCTGATTAGCCATAGTTAGCATAGCAGTTCGTTCTCCTAACGTGCTGGCCTATCAGCTGCGCGCATCATCAGAAATATCAGCCGGTTGCCCTCCTGGTATGACAGATACAGTAAGTTACCTTCCAGTGTGCCTGACACCAGTTGGATTTTTGACGAGAGCGTGGATTTTGGACTGTGTACGAAAGTAAGTGTACTTCCGGTGCTTACGCCAAATCGCCAATATCCTCGGTTTTGGCGCATTGAACGTTTTTTTGGCCTACCCCGAAGTGCTTGGACTACCAGCGCTAAAATCTCTAAACAATTCATTCTTCGCATTTACCTAAATTTATTGAAAATTGATTACAAGTATCAAATTATCCAATCACACAATATTCTTGAATAAAACAATTAATAAGATACATATATGGTATTAATTTTATCAATTACAAAACTACTAGATTACATAGTCCTAATCATTTAAATTTATATAAACATCAATGATTTTCGGCGAAAATTGCCATAAAATTCTAAAACATATTATTACATGTCTACTGAATAAGCTTAACAAATCTTGTTTTTGTTCACAGTTGCGTGAAATATATTTCTCAATGTCGCTAGAAAGCATATGCCATATATATTAGTGCTTTAGATTCTGAAAAATATTCCCAATTATTTTTAATTGCTATAACTGGAGTTGAACAAGATATTCAAACTAACTATAACTAAAGTTTAATGAACAAGATAGTCGAAATATTTGCATTATATTCGAAAGAGATTAATGTGAAAAGAAACATAATTATGTTTATTCACTTGTAGTTATAAACAGTTATCAGTCAGAAAGTAAAGTTAAAAGCGTTGATTTATTTTCATTCAACCAAAGTTTAAACTGTAAATAGGTGTTAGTCGTCCAATTCACGATATCTTTGTCTAGTTTAAATGTCTTATTGAAATCCAGCCTGCCTCAATAATGGCTGAGCATTTGCAGCACCTTGTGTCTGTGTCTTAGGATTAGTGACGTCGTGCCAGAAAGCCGGGTGCGGTTGCCGACTGTTTGTCTTGGGGGGTCGAACACAAACACGACATCGACTAACACGTGATCTTAAATCTTGTCCTTTTTCTTGATCTAAAACTTCAGGAGTCTGTGATATAAACATTTCGTCAGGTTTTACAGTTGCCATCCAGAAACTGTATTTATTGGCGTAGTAATGGCATGTCCCACGACCATGGCATTCAATGAACGGATTGGGCCTGAATGTTTCAACACAGGAGCCTGGTGACGACAAACTCTGGCCGCTGCCACTCCCCCCGGCACCAGTATGCTGTGTGAAAAAATAATATGAATTCTTAGCGTTTGAATAATACAGTACAACAAGGAGAGATTTAACTGCTAAAGTGAAGGAAACAGCAAACCAGGAGAATGATTCGTATTATGTGATAAATCGATAAACATTGATTTCTTTTGAATTTTCTTCATACAAAACATTCAATTTGCGAATTTCATAATGCTTGATCAGATAATGCCTGTAAGGAACAATTGGCAGCTCTTAATCTGATCAACCAATCAGGTTTAATTTAACTAGCTTCGCACTGATTGGCTTGAAACCTTCAAAAGCTCGTTACAAGCAATAAAGGTTCACATGGGAACAGGCAATGTTTTATGCAAGCGAAGGTCTAAAACTTACACCGTACTTACCATAATGAAACTGTATCCATCCCATAATCCCTGCCATCCAGCAGGGCATGATGGTAATGATTGATCTTGACTATGCACAGCTATAACAGGCCCAGGTGTCTCACACACTGAACAACGACTGATATGTGGCTCTACAGCATCATTATCCACTGGCATCATGGGTATTGTGCTGGACGCTGACAACCAATAACTGTAGTCATTTCTTGAGGCGAGGTTACATCGTTGGTAAATATTACAGGATAAATACGGCATGGTGGAGAACTGACGTAGACATGAACCAGCTTGACCAAGATCTTGACCATGGGATTTATCATTACCTAAATTAAATATAACTCGAGTGATGAACTGAAAACGTATTATTAATCCTTTCCGGCACTCGAGATACCCCTGTTTCAACTAAAATTAATACTTAAACTGTCCGACTTATGATTTAATATATTCGCCATCCAAATAGGGAAACTATGAGAAAGTTAAAAGGAAGAAGAGAAAATGTAACGAAAAATGAGACCTAAGTGAAAGATGTGGAAATAAAACCTAAAGAAAAATGAACCTTTTTTCGAACTTAATTAAAGTTGTAGGTTGAAAATGTCTTTGTTTTGGCACATCCAAAGAATATTAAACAATCTTTCAACTTTAATTTCAATAATTCCTATCAGTTGTGCTCTCAAAGCTCTTTTGGATACAAATGTAACATACTAATTGATTTTTATTAGTTATTATGACTTTTCGCTTTTGTGTAGGTTGAAAATGGTATTTTATTTTTCCTCTATTGTTAGCATTGTTATTCCTCCATATACGCACTATTCTTTGCAATTGTATGGTAAAGTTTCATTGAAATACCTGTAAAAATACCATACCTTGTACATATAACAAACTGTAACCATCCCACATTTTCTGGTAACCAAATGGACATGGTGGTGGATTCTGACTTTGACTGTGTCTAGTAACATAGAATCCTGAGGCACTAGCAGGAGGACCAGCATCACCAGGAACACCCTCAGGACCACGATCACCCGATTGACCAGCCTGACCTTTGTCACCTTTACCACCCAGTTGACCTCGAGGTCCTTGAGAACCAGGTACTCCTTCATTTCCTGGTACACCTTCGACTCCTTTCTTACCATCCGCACCTTTAGGACCTTATACAAAGATAATTTAAAGAACGCGAATCAATAATCAGTTTAACATTAGGAACTACCCATCATTTCTAAGTCGGGCAGATTATACATAAAAATCGAGCATGAGTCGGGTAAAAAAATAACCGACTAGAAATACATATTTTAATAATAATAATAACAGTCTTTATTCATACTCAAGAACACCCGTCTGTGAGTTTACATTATAAAAATATATAAGATAAAATTATTGATATCTATAAGGTAATAACTAGATATATACAGTTATGGATAAAAATAT